TGGCTCCCTTCCCCCATTGCACAGGGAGGAGACCAAGGTTCTGTCTCCTCCCTGTGACAGCCCCAAGGGCAGGGCTGGGATGGTGCTCACCAGCATGAACCCCAGCCCAAACATGCAAAGCCACTGGGATGTGGGCAAAACTGCCCAAAATTAACCCTCATAGGGAACCCATCTACATAGTTGCTAAGGTACTCTGCTTTAGAGTGCCCCTGTCTGATACTTCTTCAGCAAGGACCCTGGTTTTCTCAGATTTTAAAAAAACCCCAATTTTTGGTTTAAAAACAGTAACCCCAAATCCACATTTTTTCTGTGTTTTAAATGAAAACCACTAATATATATAATAGCATTTCATTTAAATCATGGAAAAATGTGATTTGGCATTACTTTTTTTTTTAAAACCAAAAATTGGGAATTTTTTTTTAATCTGAGAAAACCAGGATCCCTGCTCATCAGACAAGGGTTAAATTTTCATGTGATCAGCCATTTCAGTAGCTGCTCTGCAGCTGTGAATGTTTGTTACATTATAGCTGTAGAGTTTTCAGGGGCCTCATCACACAAAAAATGTAACTTCTGTAAATTCCCTCAGTGAACATGCTTTTGACTGGTTGAATTATATGGTCCATAAGCTATCTAATATTTAGTACAGTCCTCTTCCTCTTCACTTATCATTCAGAAATTATTCCTGATTTTTGTATGTCTCATTCACGAGCATATGTTCAGCCTATTGACAGCTTGCAGACTATTTGTTTTGACTATGTCTTTTACCAAAATGTCTGAAACTTTTCAGATATGTGATTATTTTCACGAATGAACCATGAGTTGTCAAAATTCCTGTGAACGATGAATAAAACAGTGAACCTATGGTTCTCTGTTAACTCATTAATTCATAAGTCAGCCACCTTTTTAGGCCGTGGGCTCTTGTGACCTAGTTCAGGTAGCTTCCCTCCCTCCCCCCCTGCTGCCATTATTTTTCCCTACAGCAGCCCTGGCAAAGCATCCATTGCTACCAGTTTTCCCCATGGTGGAATTGGGAAGAGTGCCCATAGCTTGTTCTTTTCTACATGATGGTATAGGAAAGTGATAGCTGTTGATGTCCTCCCCCACCACCACTGAATGCTGCCAAAGCTACACATCTGCAGACCAGATCAAATGGCTCTACAAGCTGGATATGTATGTTGCTGACCCCTAAATTAATTCACCACAAATTACTAATGGTGGTAGTCTGCCAGTTTTATTCATAATGCTGTGGAAATCCTGTTTTTAAAATGTTCACTGATGTTCCCAGGTGTCTTTGGTCTGTTTTGCTTTCTTTCTGGCTAGGAGGACTCCAGACCATTAGAGGGAAGAGGCTGCAGGGCAAGCTGAACAGGATAAAGTCGCAAGCTGCTCAAGGTGAGCCAAAGCCTGAAGGAGAACTGGTCCTTTCTAACTAAGAGCTGCTGCAGGCTATTTTGTCAGTGAAACAGAGCTGAATAACAAACACGTGCACCTATGATGCTCACTGAACATTCTGCAGAATAATGCACGTAAAACTGGTGACAGCAGCAAAAGAGAAACACAGAATTAGGACTGGGGAAAATAGCAGCTTCTAGTTTGAGTTCAAATAGTAACAAACCTTAAGGAAAACTCTGATCCTCAAGATGCAAATTCCTTCCAAAAGTGATGTACTGTACAATGGTAGCATTATCAAGGCTGTAGCTACAGCACAGTAAGCAGTAGAGGCGCACTGATACATCGGTCCAATACTGGATTGGCACTGATATAAAGAAAATTTACTATATTGGAAATTGGCCATATCAGGCCAATAATTTGGCTGATAAATGGCCCGTGCATGTGTGCAGCTGCAGCACAGCACAAGCAGCGAGAAGCACAGCCCCGCATCTTGGAGAGCTGCCTCCAGCTGGTAAGTCTGGTGTGGTGGAAAGGGAGCAGGGAGGGAAGGAACTGTGGGGGCAGATCAAGGCCCCTGCAATGAGGGAGGTGTGGGGTTGGGGCTGGGGCAGGGGCAGGGGCTGGGGAAAGTGCTGCCCAGTCAGGGCAGGGTGGGCATGGCACGGTGCTGCAGCTTGTCCAAGGGGGGCAGCTCCCACCGCTGTGCGCTGCTTGTCCAGGAGCTGCTGGTCCGGAGGCTCATCCGGCACTTGCCTGCTTGTGCGGTGGCTCCTGCCACTGCTCACACCACTCGTCCAGGAGGTGGAGGGTGTGTGCCCCCAGATCTGCATGGTGCGGGCTGGGGTTGTACCAAGCTGTTCCTGGCAAGGCACGGCTGCACTGGGAAGGGGCTACAGCAAATTTGTGGCTGCAGTACCCCCCCCCCCCC